GCGGCGCGATGCGGCTGCTGAGGAGAGCCCGCCCCAGGCTCTCCGGTCTGTGCCCAGAGCCCTGTCCGGGGACGCCTCACAGGTCTTTCCAGATAAAAGACGACGGAGGGCTCCGCTTCCTCGGGGCGTTTCCCTGCTGCTGGCAGAGCTGCCCTCGCCTCGGCGAGGCCGGTGGCGGGGAGAGGCTCCCAAGGGCGGGCAGAGGGATGCGGTGGTCCCCCCGCAGCCGGTCACTCGCCTTTCCTGACACGCGTCCGCAGCGGCGTAAATGTCTGAGGACAAACAGGCCTAAGACATCGCTGGAGGCTTCCCGCTGAACGCAGCTCTTCCCGCTGGGCAGAGGACAGCGGCGCAAATAACACCCAAAGTGTAATTTGGGTCGCTGGATCCCTCCTGGAGGGCACTGGGGTGCTCCTCCTCGCTGAGGTCAGGCTAACAGCTAAGTCCAGTAAGAGGGTTGTGGAGGGACTGGGAAGTGATAGGAGTCTTGGGGGATGGGGTGAACTTCTTTTAAAAGTTCAAGAGTTGTTACCAACTATTGAGCTTGCTACCAGTTGTTACTGTTTGTGGAGACAAAACATACTTGGTCGTATGAACAGGGCCTGGAAAGCAGGTTCTCAAATACATATACATTGCAAGAAGACTGCAAGAATTTTCTGTTTCAGAGATAACTGTGGATTATATTGCAATGCCTGTAATCCAGAATTTCTAGCCGTTTGCCCCTCCATTCGCTTGCTTGGTTTGAAATTATCTCAAATAGTCTTATGGTTCACTCTTTGAACTTAATCTTGTTTACGTAGACAAAACCAAACATGAGTTAGATACCTCAGCCGATGTCAAACTAACGTAGAAGCACCTAAGACTCATTGTTGAAAGTGAATTGATTCCTGCTTTTTGTGTTTGCCTCTCAGTCTTGGCTATCTGAACAAACTTTTCCATTGTGAAATATTTGGGGGGAAAAAACCTGTTTAGTCAACAAAGAAGAAAATATTATACTCCAGTAGAGTGTACCTGAGAAATTAGTTTATAATTTTCATGTTATTACAAAGTTACAGAAATCAAAACATCTGTCAAACTAATGGTGAAAAACATATCTGCTGAAATGTTTATATTTCCTTCTTAATGGTTATGTCCATTTTCACTATTCATTTCAATATGGTCCATTTTCAGAATTTAAATGACACTTCTTGTAGAAGGACTGACTTTTTGTTGGAACATTTGGCTGTTTATGTGCATATTCAGTGACTTGGGGTCTTTCAGATGGGATGGGGATATTGTCTTGGAATCATTAAAATTTCATTTGGCGCATGATGATACATAAAGTCTTTCAGGGGTATTAAGGAAAGAAAGCATGCTAAAACATGAAACATGCCAGTCCTAAGTTAGTTTACTGTAACTAACTGTCAAGTGTTTCTTCCTTTTTTTCAGTCCAAGCTTCAACTAGAGGAATATAAGGAACTGCTAGGTAAGTGAAATCAGTTCTCTCTCTGAACTCATATGCAGCTAGAAGGCAATGCATGATGTCTTGTGGAAAAGTGTAAAAGCTCTCTTGTTTAGCTAGAGGAATAGAAGAACAGGGATTTCTTGATCTTCAGTTATGATTAAAACTTTAATAATAACTTTAACTTAATTTAAATTAATGTGAGTTCCATGAGTTATTCTGCTGTTCTTTTTGTTAGTGGTTTTGAATGCCTAATTAAAGGAGATGGGGAGCAGACGCTCTTATACTGTCTTAACGATTCTGATCACTTTAACAGCTAACTATCCTAGTTTTATCATATTACTGCAATTTTGTTTTTCAAGTTGATACTCTGATTTACTCAATAAAATGCTTCAGTTGTTTTTTTTTTTTAACTGCTACATTTATTCAAAATACATGTCTGCAGGTCTAGATGGGAAAAGAGGGTTATTTCTCTTTCTACACTGTACTGGTCATATATAAAGAACTGTGCTGTGGCATAGCTGCATTTTATCAATTAAAGAATATCTATGAATGTTTTGCTTTGCTCCCCTGCTCGTTGGCATGGGCTTGTGTGGGTTAAGAGGAGCAGGTGAGGCCCCCAAAGTTTTGTGGAATTCTGAGCTGCAGAGTGCTGAACAAGTGCCCAGAAAGAACCAGGAAAAGCTGTTGTAGCTTAAAATGTGCAACATGCCCTAATGCCAGAACTTTTGATTTATGTGAAGGGTGTAATGACTTGCAGCCCTAATGACTTTACATGACTCACAAGTCACTTAAAAGCAACCTCATGCTTCACTTTGTGATAGGCATTTGTCATCTGCTTACGTAAGGATCATACTGAAGTGTAACTGAGCAGGGCCATTTATGCGCGCAATGAATGATGTTACCTTTTCTTGCCAATTTGAACTATAAGCCATGGGAACAAAATGAAGTTCGTTCTAATCTAAGGTTGTCGTTAGTAGTCACGCAGTTAAACAAGCCCCCGGCTCAGTAATTATATTGTTGTTTTGTCTATCTCTACCTTTTACTATGTTTGTTTTGAATCAGCTTTAAAAAGTCATGCCAGTAACTATAAATAGTTGTGAAACCCTTCCTTTTGCTGGAATTACCACATCAAATTTGTACTTGGTAAAGATTTTATGAAAACTTTACTCAATATGCTCAGTCTTTTCTTTGCATCCCTCTTTTTCTTCCAACCATGTGATTGTGGCTTTGTGGAACTACGTAACCTGATTTTATTTTCCCCTGGGATGCTTGGGAACAGCATACCTTTTCCCAGTTGTCTTTTTTTCATGACATGAATTCTAAGCAATTTCTTTAATCCTTCTACATTATCATCTCTCTCATGTCTTTCACACTCATCAGTAGTTGTATCTTACTATCATAGTAGCATCCATACTAATATCTTGTTTGGAGCTGGTTTTAAGGTCTTCATAAAGTAAATTCCATCTTATTTTTCCTGTTTTGCTATTTTTGTTTTTGTAAAGGGGATAGGAAGGGAAAATCTGAAATATTGGCTTTTAAATTAGGACTATTTAAAATAAAGGAACCCAGTAGAATGTAGCGTTCGCTGCCTGTCAAGGTGCCACAATTAGATCACTGGTCAACCCCAGACCAGGGAAAGAGACAGATAACACACACAGTGTGAGCGCCAACTTCCACCTTTTATTGCGCAGTCAATTCCTTTTATACTAACAAGGGTAGGTGGGATTACAGACACATCATAAGGCTGCGACTAACCCTCTAACTTTCCGTGACATCGCGAGATCTTCCGAACGCCGAACCCTACAGTAGAATTATGAAAAAATGTTAGTATTATCATGAAGAAGACATAGGAAAGAGGTGGACAATTAGATATTTCACATGTATTGGAAAGTAGAAACCAGGTTGGTAAGTTAGTATTGGATATGAATATTTTAATTATTTTTCTGGTTAATGTGGTGCATACATAAAATTACTTTGTAATTTAGATTTAGAAAGCCAATCGGAAAGAATGCCATCAGATATCATTTTATAGAATATATAACATGTTTAATTAAGCAGTAAAGCCATGTAAACCATCTGCTTCTGTTTAAATAGTCAAGATGTTAGAGCCGTTTCTTGTAATTTAAAACATCTATGAATTTTTGATTGCTTTAAAATTAGCATTCAGCTTTCCTAAGGACTTTTTTTTCTGCAGTGAAATATGCAGTAATTGTTAATGAAGAGGATTTTGAGCAGAAATTCTGTTCATTTTAGCACGTTTTGAACTTTAAGTTATCAATTTTTGTCATTTAAGTTTTTT